ATGTTCCACCATATTTGCCTTAGATTCCATTGGATGTTTACCAGCCCGCTTCTCTGAATTGCGGTTGTCCTCCTCAATCCTCAAACGCACAATTAATTCCTCTAAAGACATTTCTTTGCGCTTGTGTTTGAGGTAATTTTTGAATTCTTTCCAGTCTTGTGGTAATTTCTCAATTAAGGCAACAACTTGAAATGATTCACTAAGAGACATGCCTTCTGTGTAAATGCCATACAGAATGAGTTGGAGATCTTGAACTTGATTGATCATAGTCTTAGAATCAACCATCACAAAGTCCAAGAATTTGCCAACCACAAATTTCTTTAAGCCAACATCTTCTGTTTTGGACTTTTTCCCCAAAGACTCCCAAAGTTCCTTTGCTGTCTTGATAGGACTGTAGACATTGTATGATGTGTTGTCAAGTCCGTTCAAGATGTAGTTCTGGCAAAGGAAATTAGCATGTTTCCAAGCATCGACCGCAGCAACCACTTGCCGATCAATTTCATCCTCGTTCAGAGTAAGAGCATTCTCATAGAGAAAACGAGCTAGGTTCAGAGTTGTAAGATAGAACAGCATTTTCTATTGCCATCTTTTAAAATCAGTTCCTAAGAACTTCTCTGCCTTCTCACCGTGATTGACTGGCACAGTCACAATAGAAGGGGTTAGAGCAATTGTAGCCACCACACTAGTACTTGTTTGAGTATTAGTTTCAGTAGTCATGAATTCTAAATTATAAAATAAAATTATAATTAGAATTGTATACTACACAGAAAATTTAAATCAAAATCATATAATTAAATTCTGTAAAAAAAAAAAAAGAATTGTAACTTTTATTTTCAATTAATTTGAAAATAAAATAAAATTTTATTTAACCAAATTAATTCCACACAGAAAATTAAATTTCTGTAACACTTCAATAATTAAAATACTGAAACAAAATTTTAATTAATGAACACTCAGAAATAATTTCTGAAAACAAAAATTAATTTCTAACAAAATTCCACAAATAAATATTCTGAATTGTTAATGACACCAGTATATTACTACCAGTTGTCAAAGAAAATAGATAGTATATTACAACTATCTGTCAAACAGTATATAACTACTATTTGTTTTTCCAACCATAATATTATTTTGTAAAACCATAGAAAATAATTTCTGTAAGAAGAAGAAAGAGAAAAAGAAACAAATGAAAAATTCTGTATAAACAGAATAATTTGAATATGTCTTAAGATTGTTGGAACAATCTTTTGTGTAAAATAAAATAAATTGAAACAAATCAAACAAATAAAATAAATTACTTGCCGAATTTATTTTATCGAACCGAATAAATATTTAAAGATTAAGTCAAGTGTGTGACACTCTGTCCTTAAGACAAATTCGCCCCACTACGGTGCTTATGGTTAAGTGGCGTCTATTTTCCAGGATACAATGATCTTCACAAATTGTAGTAGCACTCTAAAACAATTTGTATGGTGAACCAAACCTGTGTTCTATACTCTCAAAGTATTCCCTAAAATTAATATGATGAATATATGCAATAGAGCAAAATTTGGACAGCAAGAAGATGAATTTTTCAATCAATTTTTCAGATCTAAAAGACTACTGAAATGGCTAGTATTTATAGGCACACTGATCTTTCCGAACAGGTGTTGTCTAGAATCGAACAGGTATGAAATTGTTTGAATAGATATAATTCAAAATTCAAACAGATTTGTTGGTAACTGCTAGACAGATTTGAATCTGTCTAGGCAGTTTTTATAACTATAAAAACAGTTTGAACCTGTTTGGATTTCAACAGATTGAAAAACTATTCAGATTGATTAATTAGTTGCGGAATTCAAATTTTGAAAAAAAAGGCGCAATTTTTGGACAAAAATTTGAATTCAAATACATTTTGAAATTTAAATAATTTCCTGCAAGAAAAAATTTTGTCCAAAAAATTAATGTTAAAACTGACTCGATCCGTCCCACAGCCCACACCCGCGCTCGGCCAGGCCGAACGACGGTGGCAACGCGCGTGGTGGTTTTGGGCTAAAATTTCATTTGTCTATAACTCATCCATTCTACAAACTTGAGGTGCCCCTTGAGGCCCAACTCAAGGTTGTACACTTAGAGCTTATATACTCACAAAAGTTCTCTTAAAGTTTCAATGTGGAACAAGCTTTACAAGAAAACCCACATTTACTTCTTTAATTGTTCATTCTACAAACCTGAAAACGACGTTAAGTTCTCATTCACTCATAAATGGTTTTGACGAACCGTTTTCACCGTGTGACTTGCCACGCGGTACGGAACACGTCATCTCTTCAGACCCACCCCAAAAGACGCGTGGACTCCACTCAATTTTGGACTCAAAATTGACCTAAAATAAGCCTATAAAAACCATTTTTTTCAACAAAAGCCATAGGACTTATAGGTATATCACATTTTAAAGTAATGGTTGATAATGATTAGCAGTTTAATTAGTTTGTCATGTGAGTATGTATGATTTAGATCAATCATATAACAACTGTATAGATTTTTGTCATATATATATATATATAGAACTATTAGTGAACTAGCTTCCCATTTCAAACCCAAAGCATGAAGATTAATCATTGAATTGTGTCATTGTCACAATGACCAGCTCAGCATGAATACTAGCTACAAAAAATAAATAAATAAATAAAAAGAAACAAATCAAATACTCAAAGAAACGCTAACCACATGGTCAGTCTCACTAAGAATCTTGGTTTTTAAATTTAATGACAATGTTATACATTACTAAATCCCATCATACACGGAACAAAGAATCAAAGCACCCTTGTCATTAGAGTTTTTCTTACTAATAATGTTGTGATTCAAAAAAATTAATTAAAAAGTTATTCATGATTTAAAATGTATAAATTAGATTCATTTTGAATGTGACATACACAATATCAAATTTAAATATAAACCATCTACTCAAAATTTAAATATATATATATATATATATTTGTTTTTTTTTTAGTACATAACATTTATAATATGCTAAACCTATCTTATGGTTGAAATCTTCAATCTCATGCATAGAAGTTTCCACCTCTATTTGAAATTGTGGTTGCAGTATGTTTGGACTTTCAATGAAAATTTGCCAACCAACAAACTAAAAAATTGACTATTCGGCAACCACTTCACCAAGTATGCACTAATATATTGCAATCTATGGACCAAAAAATTTATGTTGCCAAATGGGTTTAATTTAGGATAATGGATCTGTAATTTAATACGTGATAATCTACAACTAGAAGTTGAAATTCGTAAGCGGAATCTAAAAGTACATATCTTTCATAATAGTCTAATTGAAATGATTGTTAAAAAATTAGAGAAAAATAATTACCTCCAATGGATGCACTAATATATATCAAGAAACTTTGACAAATTACATTAACGCTGTATTTAGTTGAGGGAATTGTGGCGGAATTTGGAAAGAAAAATAGAAAAGATATGTGAAACTATGTAAAATGTAAGTATATTTTATTCACATTAATTTCATCTACTTTTTCTATGTTTTTTTTCTTTTCTATATCACTCGTCAAATCTCTCAACTAAACATAACATGAAAGAACATGAATTTGCAACCCATGAGTCCAAAAATTTATATTGCCAAATGGGTTTAATTTAGGATTATGGATTTGTAATTTAAAACCTAATAAGCTATATCAATAGAAGTTGAAATCTGTGAAAGTACACATCTTTCATAATTAGTCCAATAAAAAATGACTGTTAAAAAATTAGACAAAAAATAATTATGTTGAGCCCTAGTGATTCTTGAGCAGAGTTGCCCAATCAAATGAAGTAACCAAAATGTTTCAACCAAGTTAAATTAAGAATCTGGCAACAACTTGATGAATTTTAAAGTCCGTCTTTAAAACCCGTCGATAATAAACTTTTTTTATAAAGTGAAAAGATATTTAAGTTATTTTTAGCTTTAAGTTGAACATAAACTACAAGTAGCCCACTAAAATGCAGCAAGCAGCACCAATATGTGAATTAACATTATCAACTTGTGTTATAAATCTGTTGTTTGGCAACAAGAAAAGAAAAGAAAAGAAAAGAAAAAGGGTGATTGGTTATGGTAATTGCGGTCGTCACCTACTTTCATTGACAAGAGAAGACCATGCACGAGGGAGTAATTGAGTTACCGTTTTCTTCTCTGTATGCTTGCGACCATGGCCAGGCCCACTCTCACTTTCATAGCGATTCTTTTAGATCCGATAAGAATTAAGCTATTTGTTACCAACAATATGTGTGGGTCAGAGTGCTTAGATATTCCACATCGTTTTTATAAGTCGCCCAAGTTTAGATCATATCATATAGTTTGGAAGTTATTTTATCCATTCTCAATTTTGTTTCGAGTTAAATGACTTTAATAAATTTAACATAGCATCAGATTAAGTCATAGATTATGTGCTCTAATCTCTCCAACCTACTTGATATAATTAAATTACTTACACGTATTTAATCTGCTTATGAAAAAGTATTTAGTCACATATAAGAAGACAATTATAGTCGTTTCAAAACTTTTGTAAATAAAATACTTTAAAACCGCAATAATGTAATCGCAAAATTTTATTATTTTTGTATCGCAATGCACTCTTGATAATTGTATCATATGAAAATCTCAAAATAAATGCATATGAAAAGGCATAATATAACGCTAAGAATGCTTCGCTTGACACTACACTATACTATTATTTTCAACTTACATTGCAATCAAAACACTAAACAAGTAAACAAACATAAAGTGACTCCATTGGCAATTCAATCATTACCTTAGCATATAATAAACTATAACAATACATCATCACCAGAAATGGACCACCTTCACTGTTGCATTCAATTATGAGACACTCAAAAACACACTGAAAAAGAAAAAAAAAATTACAAATTTACATACAAACAACAAACAGCAGGAAAATTTACAATCAGAATTCAACTGCAATGCATATAGTTCATACAAATTATGATATCTCAAAAACAATATTGTGAGATAATGTGATTTGGTTAACGTATCGAATTCTTGTTTTGAATACAAAAATTTAGCAATTAACTTCTGTACAACAAAGGCGATCGTTCTTGAACTACTTTAGAACTCTTGGATTGCCGGAACACTTTGATCGGACTCGGAAAGTACCAACCCTTGCCCTTCGCCGGCGAATTTCTGAAGTCTCCGGCGCCGGAATCTGACGTAATCAGCACGCTCACCGATCTCGATCTCATCATCGTCATCATGCGCTGCGCGTAATCATTCTCTGTTTCGACTTCCTTCCTCTTCGCTTCTTCATCTTCTCTCTTGTTCTTGTGCGTCGTGAACACGGACCAAATCGACGAGTTGCCCCGATTTCTTGGCGCCGGAGGCTTGTTGCTGACTCCGGCGAATCGAGGACGGAAGAACGGAATCGCGGCTGATCGAGAGCGACGAAACGAAGGCTCGGTGTCGATGAGGTTGGAAACGAGTCCGATTGGACCGATGCCGGCGGAACCAGAGGAGGATATGGAGGAGGAGGTCATGGCGGCGGTGGTGGAGCAATCACAGGGGCGCAAGGTAGCACAATCCGGACAGAGAGTGTTGAGACGGTCCCTGAGGCAGGTAGGGCAAATTCCGCTCCTCCGTCGCTTCGAAGGGTGTTGTGGACATTTCCACACCTCCTCTTCGTCTCCATAAAACGCCATTGCTGTAGAGCTCTCTCTCCCCATCTTTCTCTGGTTTTAAAAGGGTGGGGAGGGGACAAGTTAACTCTGGGTTTAATCATGGTTAAGACGCTTGCCGTTTGAGTTGAGACGTTTAACAGTTTGGACCAAACGGCGGCTTGGTTTGAGACTTTTTTTAAAAAAATAAAAATAAATTAAATTGATTTAATTTTTTCCTGTAAGATTAAAGTGTCTAATATAATTTTGTCTAATTTACGGTCTCAATGTATTTTTTATAGACGTCAAAGTAGTTTCACTTACTATTCAACTCTTTTTAATCAGTAATTTGTTAATTGTATATATAGAAAAATAAATGATGTTATTTTTCTTATATTGTAATGTATATTTTATTTTATTTTATTGTTATCTTCACATAATTTATATTAATTCTGATTATTTTAATCTAAAAGAAAAATTAGTGTAGTTATAATGAATTATAGAGTTTTTTGCATTTTTTTTTCTAAATTTTAAAAGTAATTAGTGTAATTTATCCAAATAACAATAATTATCTTGTTTTTCTAAAAGATTTTTTGCCTCGACTTTTGTGAAAAGCTGTTTTTTTCTTTTTGTTTATTTATTTATTTTTTATTTTTATAAACAATAATTGTGAAAAATATGGGGAAAAAAATTTACTAAAACAAGAAATGGACAAATAAAAAAGTGGTAAAAAAGTGATGCCCAAATAATTAAGTCTAGTCTAAGGGACTATTTGATTAAATAGTAATCGTTCGAATTTGTCCATGTCGGTCGTTCGGTCGATCATTTGGGAGGTCCCCGGGAGAATGTTGATTGACATGCTAATTGACAAGGATGATAGCCGCAATTGACAAGGGTGGCGCCGGTCATCTAAGCGATGGTCCAACTTACATAATTTGGGCGATTCAAACAAACTCAAATTTGAAATGTCAATAATTTTTCAAAAAAAAACATGTCAATCGACATCCGCCCATAGACCTCCCAAATCGACCGAATGACCGACATGCACAAATTTGAACAAAATCAAATTGACAACGATGACAGTCGTAGTTGACAAGAGTGACGCCGGTCATCTGAGCAATAGTCCAACTTACATAATTCGGGCGATTCAAGAAAACTCAAATTTGATGTGTCAATAATTTTTCAAAAAAACATATGCATTAAAGTGTAGTGAAAGAAATGAGAAGAAAATAAATATATGTTTTCTCCATATGATTTATTAGGATGAAAATTTGTAAAATTGTTTTGAAAAAATATATATTCTTTAGTTTGGATACCATAAAGTAACAAGAGAATTTGAATTATTCTTACACATTTTAAAAACAAAAACAACTTGTTTAATTGATTTCACATAAATTTAGTTCATTTTAAACTTTTAAACTATGATTGTCAAAAAATATATATAAAAAAACTTTTATGGGCCTATAATTTATGTGATAAAATATATGAGCTCTGGTATGGACATAATTGACAAATCATAAATTGTAGGAAAAGATAATAAAATTAGAATTGACAAAAAAAAAAATAAATAAATAAAAATAGAACACCTTACCTTATGTCAAGACGTACAAACTTGACTAATAAGCCATTTCTATTGACATTTTCTTTTTTAATAAAAATGATTTTTTTTTTTTTTTTTGTTAAACTCAATAAAAATGATAGTCGGCGCAAAAGTGTTGCATGTGCAGTTTATATATCTGAACTTTTGGATTTTCAAATTATTTAGCAATTACGAAGTTTTGATATTTTTAAAAAATAAGGAAGCATGAAAAATCTTTTGAATTATGTGCTTTATAGGTGGTGTTACATGTAACAATTAGCGTATTAATTATTGTACTAACATTAATTATGATATTATTATTGACCACACTTATTAAATAAATTATAAATATTAAAAACCTCTTAAATTATGTCACATCATCAATTAATACAATAATTAATACACTAATTAGTGTAGTATTTTGAAAAGTTGATAAAAAATTAATTTTTTTGACTTTTTTAATCTATTTTATCTTTTTATAAATAGAAAATATGAGAAATGATATGATGATCTAAAATAAATAAAATGCTAAAACTGACCTTTTTTTTTTAATTCTCAAAAGATCCCGGCGTATATAGTATTATTCATAATATATTATAATACATAAATAAAGAGTCAAATAAACTTCACTATTTTATATAGCTAAAGTCAAATGTGTACAACTTTCTTTCCCTTTTGATGACTTGAGGGAATAATCACAATAAAAAAATCTGTTTAGTTTAAATTTTTAAATACAGTTTTTAAAATTTTAATTTTTTTATAGTAACTTTATTTCATATTTTAGTCAACTTTTTTTTTAGATAATTTTTAAATGAATCTAATTTAATTTAGATGTACTTAATTAAAAGGTAAAATATTTATGAATTTTTTTAAAAATTCAATAAATACAAAAAAAAATGAAAATGTATCGAATTGTTTTTTTTGTATTCAATAATTTTCGTAAATACTACTAAAATTTGTAGGGTGTGTTTGGTAACGTTTTTTAAAATTTTAATTTTTTTATAGTAACTTTATTTCATATTTTAGTCAACTTTTTTTTTAGATAATTTTTAAATGAATCTAATTTAATTTAGATGTACTTAATTAAAAGGTAAAATATTTATGAATTTTTTTAAAAATTCAATAAATACAAAAAAAAAATGAAAATGTATTGAATTGTTTTTTTTTGTATTCAATAATTTTCGTAAATACTACTAAAATTTGTAGCATTTAATTTATGGATGTTCCTCTTCTACCCAAAAAACAAAGGCCCTTTAAAGTCATTTTTTTTTTTTTTTTTTTTTTTTGTTTGGTAGTTGGGCTCATAGGTATAATGTAGAGCCTCTTGGCCCATACGGAACGGCCCTCCAAAAAGAAGGTCGCTGGTGTTGTCGATAATAGAAATTTGAAAATAGACCTTGAAAGGCCCAAATTGTTGTGGCTGGGCTAGCCTTTGAACAAGACAATCAGCCACTGATGAGCAGAAAGCAAACTTCATTTTTTCTAAGCATGATTTTGTTGTGATAATCCAATGGTTCATATTCAAAGTTGAAGAAAAACAACCTTGTTTTTTAAAGTGTTTATTTATATACAAAAAAATTATTACAATTGTGATTTAATTTTAAATTTGGGCTATTAGATAATGTCTTCACTAAGAAATTTTATGAATACTGAGAAATTTTTCATTTATTATTATTAGTTTTTAAAAATTTCCAATTTTTTTATGATTAATAGATGAATTATTTTGATAATAAGAACGTTGAAGTTCATAAAGGATAGGATCCCCGCGGTCCAATTCGGGAAATAATGGGCTTGGGCCTCTCTGGCAAAAGCAATGATATCACTCTTTGAATCCATTAAAAGAAACCCAATAAACATGGTTGGGCTTCCCAATAAATTATGGCATCTCTGTTTTTGTATCGTTTTGTTTTATTTTAGGTACTGTGGTGGAGAGAGAGGATGATTTAAGCATGATTTGGAGAAATTTATACTCGTTTTGGATTTGTCAAGAAAAGAGAAATAAAAACTACTTTTATATATATATATATATTAAGTGAACAAAAAGAAAAAAAGGTTTTTGATGAATATTTTTCATCCTATTCTCATTTTCAAATCAAACCCTAAAAATGAAGAGAAAAAAAAATTAGATTATTTTACTTCATTCTTTTTTTTTTTTTTTTCCCTTTCCATTCCCTCTAAATTCACGATCCGAAGTTAGTGCCTTGATAAATATCACATTTTTCTAGTTCATTCCAATTATTTCTTATAATAATGATGAAATTTTATGCCTAATACTTATTCATCAAAAAAAGAAAAAGAAAAGAGAAAGTGATTTAATTAAAGGCCAATTTATTAAGCCACTTTTGATTTGTTTCAAATGTTCACTCTTTTTTTGAAAAAAATAAATAAATAAGCGTTGTGTTTAGTTTATGAATTTAGATAGAAATTTAAAAATAGAAAGAAAAAATGTAAATGAAATGTAAATGAAATATATAAATATGCAGGGCCGGCCCTGAGTTCGTCGGGGCCTAAGGCGAATTTCGGAAATGGGGGCTCTTTTATATTGAAAAAAAATTCATGAATAAAACGATAAGTTACAATTTTTTTATTTGTTTGCAACCATAATTTCACACACTTTTTTTTTTCTTTTTTCTTTTTTCTTTCTTTTTCCAAATCTCTACCCAAATCTATTAACCAAATACAACTCAAAGTTACAAAATTGAAAATTTCCATTAATGAGGAAAAACCTATAAAATAGTTTCTGTTTTCGATTTCAAAACTACCCCAAAGAAACTCTTGCAATAAATTTGATATGTGTAGCTTTACACTAAAAAAATATTACTGCCCAAATTACCTTTTATTTTCTCCCCTTGCATGATTTTGGGACTAACATATCTCTTATATTGGTAAAATTATTATCCAATAGTCTCAAAATATTATATGACGTTATTATAATTCTAAAACTATTATATAATTATTCTATTTACTAGACAGTAGTGGCCAACCCTCCCCTCCCCATGCTTTTCCCTAAAATATAAAAATAAATAAAAATGTTGGAAAGGAAGAGTTGCAACTTTCGGCCCTAGTTTGTCAAATGGTATAAACTTTATTGTAATGATAAGTTGCACTAACCATTGGCTTTGAGTTATAGGGATATATAAATTAAGAGAAAAGAAATTGGCAAAGCCACAGAAAAGAAAAGGAAAAGAAGCAAACCACAATATATAGTCACAATAATAATTCATAGTTTTATAATTTGGGTAATAATGAGTAAGTTTGGCCCTTATATATGTAATGAGTAATTTCTTTCACAAAACTATATATAATTCCACTTCACTCTCCACCTTCCACCCTCCACTGATCATCTTTTGTTCTTGTCTCATGACATCAACAGCTTCTGTTCCCACTTGCTTTCTTTCCCACCTCAATGATCTTTCACCAGTTAGTTTCACTCTAACACTTCTTGCCCTCTCTCTCTAAAAAAACACTGAGAAAAATGTGAATTGTATTACCAAAATAAGAGAGAGAGAGTGTTACCTTAGATATTT